TCCTGAGCTCAAACAATCTGCCCACCTCGGCCTCCCAGAGTGCTAGGATTACAGGTGTGAGCCACCGCGCCTGGCCTCACTTAGCATATTGCTTTTGAGGTTCATCCATGTTGAAGCTTGAGTCAGTATTCCTTTTTATGGCTGAATAATATTCCATTGTATGTATATACCACATTTTGTTTATGTTCATCAGTTGACGGACATTTATGGGGATTGTTTCTTCTTTTGGGCTATTATTAATTACATTGCTAAGACCATTTATATATAAGATTTTATGTTGGACATGTTTTCATTTCTCTTGGGGATATATACCTAGAAGTAGAATTGCTGGGTCACAGGGTAACTCTATGTTTAACTTTTTGAGTAACTTGCCAGACTATTTTCCAATGTGGTCATACCATTTTTCCCCCACCAGCTGTCTATGAGGGTTCCATTATATTCACATCCTTGCCAACACTGGTTATTGTCTGTCTTTTTATTATAGCCATCTTAGTGAGTATGAAAGTGTTATCTTGTGATTTGATTTTGTAATTCCATAATAGTGATGTTGAGCATTTTTTCATATGCTTATATGCTTTCACCGTTTGTGTATTCCTTTTTTTTTAGAGACAGGATCTTGTTTTGTTGCCCAGGTGCTGGAGTGCCCAGGCGCTAGAGTGCAAGTGATCATCGCTTGCTTCAGCCTAGAACTCCTGTGTTCAAGCAATCTTCCTGCCTCAGCCTCCTAAGTAGCTGGGACTACAGGCGAAAGCCACCATATCTGGTGGCTAATTTTTTAATTTTTTGTAGAAATGGGGTCTTGTTACGTTGTCCAGGTTAGATTCAAACTCCTAACCTTGAGCGATCCTCCCTCCTTGGCCTCCCAAAGTACTGGCATTACAGGTGTGAATACCACAGCCTGGCCTGCTATTTGGATATTTTCTTTGGAGAAATGTCTTTTCAAATTCTTTGCCCATTTTTAAATCAGGTTGTTTCTCTTTTCATTGGTGAGTTGTAGTGAATCATTAGTATTTGATGTGTTTGAAATAGAAAATATCGACAGTTGTATTTTCTTTCAGGATAAAGTTTTACACAATATCATGTCTATTTTTACATTTATGGGAGCCAATGTCATGCGCCTTGACGATGCTTATAGTTTTCAAGTTATTAACAAGACAGTGAAAATGGTTATTCCGGCACTTATTCAGGTAAGCTGTCATCATTAGTATTTTTTTTATTTTTTTAAATTTTGCCTATAAATGACATTAAAAGCCTTTCTGAAATGCTCAAGTACTGTGCCTCTTAAATTTTAGAATGGTGAAGCTAAGAAGCAGTGTTGGAAATAATGTCTTTCCCAAGCATATGAACAAACATAGCTGGTTCTGCTGTGCTGCGAGGGTGTATCTATAAAAGTGTCTTAACATTCTGATAGGATGAATTTATATCTGCTATCTATTTCAGGACCTCACTTCAGTTTAATAAAACCCTTGTAGGTTTATGAGAGTAGGAACTTTCAGAGCTACAGTGGCAAATTTATTAACATGCAATTCAACAAATGTTTACCAAGCATCCTATAAGAGCCAAGTACTCAGAAGTGAGATGTTGTCTCTGCCAGTAAGGAATGAACAATTTGAAGGTAAAAAGTAGTCTCAAAGATGAAAGAGCTAGGTTGTCTACTTGAGTTTTCGGTTTACGCCCCCTACTTGTTAAATAATGTCTTTTCTCATGCTGCTGACCATTCTAGGGATGATGGTATTCAGCACCTTTTCCTTTTAATCTTGGTGTCAGATCGGTGTTCTCAGTGTCCAACAAGTTGGCAGTTACAGGACATATACACAAAAAGAATAATAACTATATGCGTTAATATGAAATATGCCAATGAAATAAACAAATGCTAAAGACTTTAGGGAGAAGTCCATGTGGGCCAGGATGATCAGAAAATGTCATAAGAAATAGAATTTGAGCTGGTGTGAAAGAAGGAAAAGATTTCTCAGTGAAATGGCAGAGCCAATAGCATGAGAAAAGTCATGGCCTAAGAATGTGCACAGTGTGAAGAATGTAATGTAGATCGATTCCATGGAGAACAGAGGGTTGGGACAGGTAGGCATTGGTTTATTCATGCATTCAAGTGTTTGTTTATTCTGTCATGCATTCTATCATTCATTCAACAATGATATTTTGATCACCAGCACCAGAGTGAAATGGTTGGAACTTGATTCTGAGAGCAGCAGGGAGTTAGTGGTCTTTTCTGTGCTCTGCTTCTCTAGATTATACCCATTCTTCTCGAGACACAACCCAAATCCTGTGTGATTTGTGTCTGAGCAGACTTGCCATTGTGCCACATCTTTGGCATCTGCTCTTTACTGCTTCCTGTTATCTTTTCACATGGGTGTCTTGTTTCATGCAGATTATAAGTATTCTTTGGGACAGGGCTCACGTCTTGCACTTTGTATTTCCCTCGGGGCTAAATAGTGCCTGGGACATGATAGGTACTCATTGAATATTTGTTGTTATGTTTTTGATTATGAAAATTGATAACTTTTGGGGGCCCATTTGAAAGCCTTATCTTACCCACTTAAAGCTCATTTTATGGAGGGTTATTTGCACCTACTTATTGTCCCTGCTTGCTATTCGGCAGTCTGATAGCGGAGACTCCAGAGAAGTCACAAGAAACATTGAAGAAATTGTGGTGAAAATCATTAATGTGTTTGTGGATGCACTGCCACATGTTCCAGAGCACAGGCGCCTGCCCATCCTTGTTCAACTCATTGATACACTAGGTGCAGAAAAATTCCTCTGGGTTCTCCTCGTCCTGCTCTTTGAACAGTATGTCACAAAAACAGTGCTGGTGGCTGCCTATGGAGAAAAGGTCAGAACATAGGATGGGGGGTGATGAGGACAATGGTTATGTTTCAGATTTTGTAATATTGTCCAGTTTAAACTTGGGGCTGATGATGCTTAATGTGTATTATTTAACAGTGCTTGCTGAGAACCTTTTTCAAAAATAATTCTGGCATTTTAAAAAATTGCTCTCAGAGCCTGCGGCACTCTGAATATCCTCAGTAGCAGCAAAACATCTGAGGGCGATTTGTCTTCTCCAAGAAACAGATAGTGCCATGCTGGTGGGTCTGTTTTAAGGCCAATGGAGTATGGCTGTAAAGTAATGAAATAGTGTCATTTGAAAGTGGTTTTGAAGGCATTTTGTGGGGAAATGGAGGAGCATCCATGTCCCTGGAATTAGTAAGATGCAGACAAAGGCAGTTGTTTGAAAAAGCACAATTTTGGATAGACGAGGGTAGAACTTATGAGGGCTGCTACTCCTGCAGTAGTAGTAGTAGTAGGAAAATAGTGTATTCAGTTCTGCTAGAAACCATAATGCAAATTAGCCTGGAATTATGCCTTCACAATTCGCGTAAGTGGGCTTTTTTATAGAAGGAACTCATCTAACTTATTCATCTGGTGATGACCATAAGGAACAAAATATAATGAATTTGCATGCTAAGGAACATTTCTAAACATGCTCTCTTACTTTTATTTGTTAATTAAAATATGATAGGTACAGGTTTGTTACCTTTTTTCTTTCTCTTTATACAGGATGCTATTTTAGAGGCAGACACTGAATTTTGGATTTCAGTCTGTTGTGAATTTAGTGTCCAGCATCAGATACAAAGCTTGATGAATATCCTCCAGTACTTAATAAAGCTGCCAGAGGAAAAAGAAGGTAAGCATAAATCAGGTGTTATTTATTATTTAATCTGAAAACTAAAGAGAAGCAGAAAAGAATGCAGGTTACCCTTAGCACATCTTTATTATTTTTTTTTTCCTATTTCTTTATTAGGAAGAGAAACTTAGTACATCTTTAGAAAGATATTTTTTAAGTAAATTAATAATTACTGAGTATATGATTGTGTTCTTTCTTGAATCCTTATGGAAAATAGTCAGTAGGTTTTCTACTTGCCATTTGACACGCAGAGTACCACTGATGTCTTGGCTATGGAATGTTACCAGTGTTCAAGATAAATTATGTTCAAATGACAGTAAGTTAGCAGGAGGTTATTAGCTATCTCTTAGCTTCCCATTAAAATATCTGAAGAGATTTACAAGAAAAGAAAAAAAAATAGATACCACATTAGTGGTAACTAAATATTAAAATAGTACTATATAGCATTGTCTTAAAGAAAATTCCATTCATTGCAGCAGCACTGAGGCTGGTTTAAGAAAGGGTAGATGTGTTGAAAGTTCTTAGTTCTCTACCCTTCGAAGCAGAACAGGTGCATTAGAAAGAGGGTACTAAGGACTCCACAGGGACTACTTTCTGTGTGGCCAGCTGTCTGTTGGCCCTGTCACCCCTGTTTGGCCAGGCAGTAACTTGTCTCATCATGCAGTTGGCACAGATTTGGTAGGGACAGACCAGGGAGGTGCCTAGAGAGCTATATGTGGTGACATGGTTAAGGAAGAGTCTTCACACTGAGTCCTTCTCTAGGGCAGTGGTTTCTAAGTGGTTCACCATGGACCTCTGACCACCACGCCCTCAACCCCATCCATATTACACACCTTTGGTAAGGAAATCTACATTTGAAATTTGAAGTTCAAAGACTCCTTCTGTAATATCCTTTTCTTCCATTTGATTGTCTCAGTTGCTCTGTTTTGTTTTGTTTTTTGTCTTATGCACCCTCTTAGGGATGTTGGGTACTTTCTCGATAAATACACTCACATTTTTCACTAATTTAGGAGAGGAAAAACCCATGGTCATATCTCATTAACATGCTATACTTTAAAGCTCATTATATCTGTATCTATACTAAGGATTCAGGTTGAAAATGTTTTGTTGCTATGTTTCAGAAACCATTCCCAAAGCAGTATCTAATAAGAGTGAGTCACAAGAAGAAATGCTACAGATTTTTAACGTAGACACTCACACTAGCAAGCAACTGCGGCATTTTAAATTTTTGTCAGTGTCCTTTATGTCTCAGCTCCTGGCTTCTAATAGTTTTCTCAAAAAGGTAATGTGTTCTTTAAATGTGTTTATGATAAAAAAATGATTTTGCTTTTTCTAAAGGAACTGTGCAATAGCTTGGTAAATGTGTCATTAAAATAGGCACAGCATGCTTTTAAAGATAATAGAAAAAAATAGTACACTTCACCACGAAAAATTGTTTGGCATGATCTATTAAGATTGAACATAATAGAAACCCTGTGACTCAGTAATTTCATTCTTAAGTGGTATATACCCAACCAAAGTGTATGAACATGCACACCAAAAAACATCTACACGAATGTTTATAATGGCATTATTCATGGTAGCTGCAACTGGGAATAACTCAGGTGTGTCTCAGCAGAGTGGATAAATTGTCTGTGGCCATAAATGAACATGGGTGAACCTCAGGTCACCTGTGTGACATAGCCATCTGATGAACAAACAATATTGAAAGAAAGAAGCCAGACACCAAAGAATACATACTACGGCTCCAGTTATGTGAAGTTTAAAAACAGGCAAAGCAAATCTGTGGTTTTAGAAGTCAGGACAGTGCTTATCTTTGGGGAGGAAGGAAAGGGCAGTAATGGGTGGCAAGTATGGGAGGGCTTCTAAGGCGCTGCTAATGTGCTCTTTCTTTGCCTGGAGACAGTGAGCTTTGCCTGTGTGATTCCTGTATTAAACTTCAGTTTAAACAATGAGAGGGAAAGAAAGGAATATCGAGACCAGGAATACAAAAAATGGTTTAACATTAGAACATCTTTAAAGTATAATACTTTGGCATTAACAGATCAACAGGGGGGAGCCATGTGATCACTGTAAATTTTACAGGAAAATAATTCAGTAGATTCAATACTCATTTCTGATATAAGAAAAAAAGTTCTCTTAGCAATGCAGAGTAGATTGGAATTACTTTGTCCTGGTAAGCCTGTGGTTTATTTTATATCACACACCTAATGATGAAACATTAATAGTGTGCTTGCTAAAGTCAGGAATGCCCTCCATCATTTCTGTTGAGGAAAAGAAATGAAATGTAAGAATCAGGAAACAAGAGAATCAACAAACAGTTAATAGAGATCAGGGTAGAAAGTGATCCATTCCAGCAAGCTTGCTGAGCTAGTCTTACACACCACCGTACTTTTTAATCTAATAGAAAATAGAATTAAAAAAAGGATTTCATATACAATAAAAACATAAACTTAAAAGGTACTAAGAATAAGCCTAACAAAAACGTGCAGGAGGATTATGGAGGAATGTGCAAGACACTGAAGGACATAAGACTTGAAGGGATGGAAAGAGATACTGTCATGTACAGGAAGACTCACTATTTAGAGATGTCGGCTCTCCCCAGATTAATCTATAAATTCAATGCACTTCTTCAATTACATCATTTTTTAAAATGATACTGACAAGTTGATACCAAAATGCAAGGAGCCCAGGGCAATGGTGGTGCGAGAGTAACCAGATGGATCAATGTGGCTGAACAGTAAGCTCGGAAACACACCTGTGAGTAGGTGAGAAGTGTGGCAGGTGACTGTACAAAGCAGCGGGGAAAGAGAACTGTCTAACGACTAGCCCTGGCATGATTTGTTTTCCATTTGGGGCAGAGTCTGATCTTACATGATACACAAAAGACAATTTTAGGTAAAGTAAAAACTTCAATTGAAAAGCAACACTTAGAACATTTAGAAAAAAATCAAGGAGAACATTGTTGTGACCAGAAAATAGAGAAAAATTCCTTTAAAATTTTTGTTCAACAAAAAGCCATATAAACAAAGTGAAAAGAAAGCCACAGACTAAGAGAAGGTTATCGCTCTGCATAAATCAATAAGCATCAGTTTCCATTAGAACACTGGCAAAGGATATGAATTCACTAAAGAGGAATCATAAATGGCCACTTAATATGTGACACAATTCAGCCTCCCTAGTAAGCAGGGAATACAAGATTAAATGAGATGTCTCTGTGATGTTCATCAAATTGGCAAAAATGTCAAAGTTGTTAATACCAAGGAGTGGCAAGGATGTAGGGAACACAGTGGCAGGCAGTGTGAGTTGTTCCAACGACTTTTGAAAGCATTTGGCGGGATCCCGAGAGGTTTAAGATGCCAGTAATTCTTGTTACTTAGTAATTCCCTTCTTTAGGCGTACACTCCATAAAAACTTGGCTAGGTGCTCATGAGACATAAAAATGTTCTTTAGCATTATTAGTAAAAGAAAAAAATGGAAATAAACTAAATGTCTAGCAACAGAGACAAATGGATAACTAAATTGTGGTATCTATAGAGGAATATTATGTGCAGTGAAAATGAGTGAACTAGAACAACGTGAGTTGCCATGCATAGATCTCACTAATCTAATGTTACCAAAAAAACATGTTGTCTAATGATACGTACGGTTTGAAAACATCAGGATGGTGCTTGTCTCTGTGAGACAATGGGAAAATGGGATGAGGGAGCCGAACGTGGGGGCTACAGCTGTATCCATCATGTTTAACTTCTTAACAAATGATATATGAGCTCACAAGATCAGCATTTTGTAGAATTGTTAGTTAATTGCAATATTTTTCTGAGTCTTGGTAGTATTTTACAGATACTACAAACAGAATGTAATTAGAATAAATTAAGAGAAATAGAGTTACTATAATGTAACAAGGATGATCCGAACCTGATTAAATTGTAATGTCAGAAAACAGTTGCTGGCTGGGCGAGGTGGCTCATGCCTATAATCCTAGCACTTTGAGAGGCCGAAGCTGGAGGGTTGATTGCTTGAGGCCAGGAGTTCAAAACCAGCCCAAGCAACGTAGTGAGACCCCCGTCTCTACAAAAAAATACAAAAATTAGCTGAGCGTGGTGGTGTATGCTTGTGGTCCCAGCTATTCGGAAGCTGAGGCAGGAGGATCATTTGAGCCCAAGAGTTTGAGGTTGCAGTGAGCTGTGATCACACCATTGCACTCCACTCTGAGTGACAGAGTGAGACCTGTCTCAAAAAAAAAAAAAAAAAGAAAAGAAGACAGTTGCTGTGGGAGGTTTGAGTGATGAATAGTCTGAGTTTTATTGAACCAACTTCAGATGACTTTTTATTATCTGCTTCCATACTATTCTAATGATGTCTTTTTTAAAAATCAGGTACTTGAAAGTGGTGGTCCTCAGATTTTAAAGGGCCTTGAAGAGAGGTATGTTTACTTTTGTTTTTTTATTTTTTGTTTGGAAATGATTTCACACTTAGAGAAAAACTGGAAGAATAGTACCCCAGACTCTCATATACTCTTTACAGCCAGGCTCACCAGTTGTTAGTAGTTTTTGCCACTTTTGCTTTATCAGTCTCTCTACATGTATATTTTTTTCCTCTGAGCCATTTGAAAGTAAGTCATGTGTATTATGCCTCTAAGAATAAGAGATATTCTTGTAAAACCACAATACATTTATCAAATTCAGAAAATTTAACATTGATAAAATACTGTGATCTAATCTACAGTTCTTATCCTAGCCCCCCTAATTATCCCAATAATGTCCTTTATACCACATTTTTTTCTGGGTCATAGTCCATTCCAGGATTGTATCATGTATTTAATTGTAATAACTAATTAGTGTCTTTTAATCTGGCCCAGTTCTGTATGGGCTCAGGGAATGCTTACTTTATTCCGTGAATTATAATCCGTATGCTGCCATTATGTATCTGGATGCAGAAATTCTTTCCCTTCACTACTGCGTCCTTACAGGTAATGTAATAGTGCATAGTGCATATGACTTACTTTCAAATGGCTCAGAGGAAAAAAATACATATGTAGAGAGAATGATAAAGCAAATGTGCCAAAAACTGCTGGCCTTGCTCCATGCCCCCTTCCCAGAAACATGGCCTTCCCGGGGCTACGGTCCTGCCGTGTATGCGGTGTTGTGGGCTGCCAGGTGCCAGTCCTGGCCAGGCTTTTAGCACTCTGTGTAGGACTTTCCATTTCAGGGGTGGTTTCGTCTGTGCCCTCTACTCCCCTCCTCTGCTGTACAGTGTCACGTTCTGTCTCTCCCCCCGCCCCTACCTTCCCACCTTCAGGCTGGCAGCAGTGGGGGAGCTCCAGTGGTAGTTGTGTTGGAATTTGGTGTGTACTTTTCTAATTACAGGTTATTTGAAGTTTGTAGTCTTTCTCTGTCTCCTAGTAATGTTGGAAACGTGGGTTATGTCTTGTATTCCTCTTTGGTCTGAACGTGTGTGGGGGTGTGGGCAGCTGCTATTAACCGAGGGCTATAACTCCCTGAACACCACACGTGGACAGCACAGTCAGACTCACTATTGCTGAGTCAGCACCTCACACAGCCTAAGCGAGGAATGTCCTTCTGGATAGACGCACCTGTTTACTTCTTGGCGATATTTCTCTATGGTGATAATCCTTTTCTTTCCACATAGTTTTTGAATAATGTGCAAATTTATTTAATTGATCTTTCTACATGAAACATTCAGCATAAGATAGACGAGTGAGTTCTTTAAAAGCTTTCAGCTCCTGTTTGCTGAATGAGTCTCCTGTGTTTTAGGTTGCTAGAAACTGTTCTTGGATATATTAACACTATAGCACAGTCCGTGGAAAAAAACGCAGACAAACTAACTGTGAAGTTTTGGCGAGCACTCCTTAGTAAAGCTTACGACATGTTAGATAAGGTATGCTTTCATTTCTCCCCACAATTATTGTGGTTTTTTATTGTTTTTTATGTTATTGTGAAACTGTTTAAAGTTGTACTTTAAGAAGAAACTTAGCAATACCTTTTCTGAATATAGTGAAGCCC